GGAGGCTGCAATGCTTGGTAAGAAATGTACGCATTATCCTGCCCATGTAATTGTAACCCCTCTGTACAGTATGTTCACAAATAAAATAAAATTAAATTAAAAAAAAAAAGAAATCCTGAGTCAAAGTCTAACACTGGATAATTCCAGTGAGTCAAGGAGGAGAATGAAGATAAAATAATTGGCTCAGAGTTTTCCTCTAAGTTTTTTTCCCCATCTTCCTAGGTCATCTTCCTCTCTCAATTTCACTGAGCATAGACTTGTGTGGAAAGGGAGGAGAAGGGAGGTTTCCTGTAGAAATCAGGCTCAGTGCAGTCAAATGTGGACCCTAGTCTCAGGACATTCTGGGCACCATGATACCTGTTCTGTTGCAAATACTTATTGAGAGGACCCAGTTCTGCCATCTCCATCACCAGCATCCAAGACTCCGCTTCACAAATCCCAATCATGCGGACAATGTAGGGGTTGTCCAGTTGCTGCATGACATTGGCTTCTGCGAGCAATTCATCTTTCAGAGCCGGGTCATTGGCCTCATTTTTCAGGATTTTCACTGCTACTGTTTTCACAACTCTGAAAACAAATCAGTGCACATGAGAAACAACCCCAAATGGCTCACGTCTAGAAAAACATATTATGCAAAGCATGTTCCCTATGCAGGAAACATGGAAATATCAGCCACGAAACAGAAGGGTCTTCTGTAAAGCAATTCTCACACTCTCTCAGTTTACAAACACACATTACTTATAACTAATGGTGCAGATGGTGCAAAGATTGCCCTAAACCAAGGAAAAACCCTAACTTGTCAAATATTTAAATAACTTCCACATAAACCCCAACAGCTGTGATATACTCAGATCATTTTAATATCCTCCTATTTGTCATCTATTCTTATGCATATATGCATAAGAATATAAAATTTCCTTCATATAGGTTCAGCTATAATATTAATATATGTATACATATTAAAGCTCATAGTTAGTTGGTACTGATGGTTCATGCCTGGAATCCTAGCTACCTAGGATGCTGAGATCTGAGGATCAAAATTTAAAACCAGCCTAGGTAAACAAATCTGAGAAACTATTATCTCTAATTAACCAGTAAAAAGCCAGAAATGGAAGTGTGGCTCAAATGGTGAAGCTCCAGCTTTGAGTGGAAAAGTCAAGTGAATTCAAGCCCCAGTACTGGTACCAAATATAAAAAGCTCCTGGTTAAAAACAAACACAATATTCCAGTATATTTCCATGTTATAGTTTGTTCATTTTAAGCTAGCCTCAACAAGTTTGCAAAGCAATTAGACTTTTCATTTTATCATACAAATATCACTTTAGATCATGCTGAGCTAGTCAATATTTTCTGAGAAAGAAAAGCCTAAAGGAAGCTGGGGGCTGAAGGCTCACATCTGTAATCCTAGCTACTTACGAGTCTGTGATCTCAGATCACAGTTCAAAGTTCCTGGACAGGAAAGTCTTTGAGACTCCAATAAACTGCCAAAACAGCTACAAGTAGAGCTGTGGCTCAAGTGGCAGAGCACCAGCTTTGAGCAAAAAAGCCAATCAAGAGTGAAAGGCTCTAAGTTCAAGCAGTTCAAGCCCCAGTACTAGCAAAAAAGAAAAAGAAAAAAGAAGACAAGTTTATACTAGGTTGGATTTTGGGCAGAAGACAGTAACCTAGGAGAACAATGTTGCTTACTTTTTCATTTGGTAGTAGCCCTTCTTGACAGTCCCAAAGTTTCCGGAGCCCAGTTCGCTGTCTTCTAGGGTCAGCAGGCTTCGGTCGAGGTACACCTCTTTGGGCCTGATCTCTTCAGGGTCGGCATAGGGGCTCTCATACACCTCCGTGTCCATGGGCATGGCTTCTCTCTGAGGGCCTGCAAGGAGATCAGGGCATGCTGGGCTCTGAGGCTTAGTACCCCTCCTCTCTTGAAGTCACAACCCATCTTTGGTCACCTGGAGTATAGTTGAGAACTAAAGGCAGAGTGAGGAGAAAGAATAAAAAGGAAGGTCTTCTAGATCAGAGGCAGCAAGGGTTTTCAACTAGGTCTGGTTGGGAGGTAGGGTGTAAGTCATCCTCTTGGGGGCTTTTATAATGGTGTCAATCAGTAGAGCACTTGAGAAGCAGCGCATGGGGCTGCTAAGGCAAGGCTGGTCCAGCCCAAGCAACTCCTGCCTGGTTCTGCTGGAACTCTGCCTCTTTTGTGATTCTAGATGCTATGGAAGGTGTGCAAGTCACAGATGACCTTGCGTGGTGCTCACCTCTCTCTGCAGCCCAGGGCCCGCGGTCTGACTCGTAGGGATTGAAGGACACAGTGCTCTCTGGCCGGCTCCCACGAGGTGAGGCGCTCTGGAGAACGCAAAAGACCACGCGTCATTCTTCTTCAATTATGCATTGTCCACGGGACCAGAGTAATTATAGTTTTTTCCCCCTTATTTCCAAGGATTCACAGTTTAGCTTATGCAAGGAAGATAAAGGAAAAGATTTAAGGGGAAAAGGCAAGGAAACAAAAGGTTTATCTCATTCTTCAGGCACCTGTTTGGATTCTGGGATAGGCTAAACAATTTCATCCTTGAACAACTCAGGAGTCTTTGCAGGCTCCCCAAGAGGGGTAAGAAACAGTTTGTTTTATTTGTCCTGGGAGAATTTCATTCTCATTTCCACGCTTATTATGTCCTTTTCCCACCTTCTTTGAGACCAAAAAGCCTCAGTTCCCTTTGGACTCATTTCCTACCTTTAACGCTGTCTCAATGGATCTCACTTTTTATGGAAGTTATTTACAAAGGAAAATTAAATATCTACCCTCTGCTCTACCCTACAGCTCTCAGCATGTGTGCAATCTAGTCTCCACAGGCGTTTTTATCAGTGATGGAGAACTAGCAATATTTGAGTTGATGTCAGAGGGTTTGCCATGGCCAAGGAACACAAGATCCAGCAGGAGAAGCCTGCCTGTTACCTGCCCAGGTGAGATACGTTCATCATCATCATCATCATCATCATCATCATCATCATCATCATCATCATCATCATGGCAATGATCATTCTAATATTCATAGATGCTCTTCACTTACCTGTAGGGATGTAATTCCTCCTCATACCCGTGGCAAGTAAATAAAGTGTATCTGAAGCAAAGCCTTTGGAGGAGGTTACTAGGGTCAGCCTTCCTGTTTATTTATTTAACATTAATTTGCATCAGGAAACAGCTGGGGGGAAATCTACTCTGAGTATTCCTAAGGATTTTATGGAGTATCTTCCTTTGGAGTCTTCCTGACTCATCTTCACCTCAAATCAGAGCAAAGTGATTATTACAACACGGCTTCCAAGAGACCCATGAGTCAATGCCTCTTTTACTCAATTCACATTGAGTAACATCTTAATACATGTCTATTTATCTTATAAGTGCCCAAACACTTGCCAGGAAGAAAATGAGATAACACTAAACTTGGAGGAAATTTAGAGCAGCAGAGACATCAAGCTTAGCATCACACAGACGCCCATCCTATGGCACACAGTAAATCCTTGCCTAAACGGCTGATACTGAGAGCAGTGGAACCAAAGCCTAATGATGGTGTCACGGTGCTTCAGTACCACCACTGGGTCATGTGTCCCCAAACACTTGACTTCCTTCTTCCATGCTGCCTACTGGGCACCAGAGGCTGGCATTGCTTGTGGTGGTAACAGACCTTTTGGTGAAGTCAATGAACATGTGGTCTTATATGTTCCTATATGGACATTCTTAACCATATAGTCTTAATTACATACTGAAATTAACTGTGATGTTGTTACAAATGACACCAGAGTGCATATTTGGGGTGAAACAGCATGAAATCACATTAGAAGCGATGTCATGGGCCAAGCACCATTGGTTCATGCCTGTAATTCTAGCTATCTGGGAAGCTAAGATTGGTTGCAATTCAAATCCAGCCTAGACAGGCACATCCAAGAGACTCGAATCTCCAATTAATCACCAAAAAAAGTTGGAATTGGAAGTGATGCTTAAATAGTAGAGCATCAGCCTTGAGAGAAAAAGCCAAATAAAAGAGAAAGACCCCGAGTTTAAGCCCCAGTACCAGCACCCTCACACACAAAAGCAGCAGCAGCAGCAGCTATATCATGTCTATGTTGGTATGATGGGTGCTCAATGTTAATGTGATAAATGCAGGAATGGATGAGTGGATGGCTGAATAAGAAAATCACTTCTTATAACGGCATGGAAACTAAAATGGTTTAAAGTGGTACAAGAGAGTTAGTACAAATAATTCCAAATGACAGTCTACTTTTCTTCAACATTTCTATACACCTGGTGTGTCTGAATTCACTTCTAACTTACACTATAATTCCCTTTCAAAAACAAACAAAAACCCAAAATCTATCCCAGCAGAAACCCAGTGATTCCTAGTTTTCTATCTTCCCTTCTGCTTAGCACATCCTTTCATCAAACTCCAGACTAAAAAGAGTTTGAAAAGTCTTTTTGGGTTAGCATTTACAATCAGCTCAACTCCTTTGATTTTCCTGGTGGCAGGAGAGTTCTGAGATCTCTAGACAAAAACCTGAACAGACCTGGGTTAAAGGATGTCCGAAGATAGCTCACTAGAGGAGAGAGGTATCTTGGTTCAAGACCTGTCCCATTACCCACATACGACATCAGTATGGGGCTGTAGCTTCTCCAAAGCAAGTGGGTTTCAAAATGCTTATTACAATTAAACAAAAATGTCATCACCCAACAGAGGAATTGGTGGAACAATGGTTAGAACAGAGGCTATTAGAAAAATATTGAAATCTTTTGGATCTGAGGATTGCAGTTCAAAGCGAGGTTGGGCAAACACATTTGAGAGACTCATCTCTTACAGAAAAGATATGAAGGTGGAAATGGATTGTAAATTTCTCCCTATTTTGCCAGATCACAAAAACAGTCGTCATAATGCCTGATCACCACGAGGTGGCACCACCAAACTGAGCTTCTTATTTTTAAACCAGTGATTGGTAATTTACAAGTTTTTCTTTTGTTATACTTTTTTTGATTTTGTGATCACTTGGCTTTCTTGTTCACTGCTGTCACTCAACCACTTGAGCCACACCTTCACCACTGACATTTTGGTGGTTAATTACAGGTAAGAATTCTCATGGATTTGTCTGACTGGGCTGTCTCTGAATAGCGATTTTTCAGCCTTCTGAATAGCTAGGATTATAGGTGTGAGCAATGGGCATTTTGCCACTCCTAAGTTTTCTAAATTCAGATATTAAGACTACTCTACAGCACTGTTTTAAAATGCATGCTTGATTATGAATGATGATAGATGATGTCTAAGCTTCAGCAACAAATAGAGAAAGCATTTGGCAAATGATTTTTTTAGTACCATTTATTTTTGAAGAACTGGGAATTTGAAAGAGAACAAAAGAGAAAAACAATTGGACTGTGCAACTGACATTTTGAAACTTTCTGTTTCTACAGAATTGTTTTCTAGGTATTGGCTTTTCTTCCTAATTTCTTGAAAGACATTTTCAAATTAAGGAAACAGTGTTAATGCAGGTGACAACATGCTCCCCAGGATTGCAGCTGGGAACAATGTCTACAAGAGGTCAGGGGTTCCAGTGTCTGGGAGCTCTCTGCAAGGCCAGGCTTTCATAGGTGAGTGAAAATTAACACGTGGCTTAATCTCCCGCATTACTGGAAGTTCTCTAATGTTGTAGTCCTTTAGGGTTATAGGGAAATACTTTTCTTAGAGATGTTGCCAGGAGGAAAAAAAAAAAGTGCAATTTGAGAATTCCTTCCTTCCCTCTCTCTCCATACTGAGTAAGCCCTAGTAAACTAGTTTTAGATACAAGTTTGTGTGTGTGTGTGTGTGTGTGTTTTCACTCAAGACTCGTGCTGGTTAACTGAAATATGAATCTCACAGAATTTCCTGCCTGTACTGTCTTTGAACAGATCTCAGTCTCCTGAGCAGCTAGGATTACAGGTGTGAGCCACCACACCCTACTAAACACGTTTTTAAAATACCTTAACCATCAACATTTGTATTGAATATAACAGGAAAGCTAGGTTTGCATGAGAAATTCTGGGATGCATTTCAGTCTAACTATCTTAGGGAATATAACCTTGAAATATGAAACAAAAAAAGCTGCCTTCAAGTCTTTGAGAACAATGTTTAGCCCAAAACAGTTGTATAAAATTACAACAAAAACTCTCAGAGTAATGACGAGGAGGATTTGAAAGTACATGTATAAAATTCACTTACATTTTGTAAATGATTATAATTTTGTAAATAATGTTTCTGATTCCTAAAGAAAAGTTTAAACTGTATCTGTTTTAGGTATTTTTATTTTAATTTTTTATTTATTTATTTTATTTTTTATTTGTTTTTATATTTATTCTTTTGCTTGAACTCAGGCCTGAAGCACTGACCCACAAGCTTTTCTCTCAGGGATGGAGCTCTATCCCTTGAGCCACAGCTCTACTTCTGGTTTTTTACTGGTGAACTAGGGATAAAAAAATATCTGGGACTTTTCTGCATGGGCTAAGCTTTGAATTATGATCCTCAGATCTCTACCTCCAGAGTAGCTAGGATTATAGGTGAGAGACTTTGATGCTTGGCCTCCTTTTAGTTTTTTATTATAAATAATTTTACTTTATCTAAATAATCTTAAAGCATAATTTTCATGAACAACATAGACATTAAAGTTCTCACATGAATTTTTGTACCCAAGTTATTAAAAATAACCATGAAGAAGTTAAAATTTGCTCTCTTAGCAAGTTCTTTCTTGAGATTGGCTAAATAGTGGACTCTTCTTCATCTATTGGTAAAAACAGACATTTAATAGTATATTTAATCCAGAGCTTATATCATATAACTCTTTGGTGATGATCCCCTAATATTTTGAGCATCTTTGAAAATTCAGTGTATTGTTATACATTTAATTAGGCAATAATCTTTTTTTTCTTTTTACTGAGTAAGCAATTTCACAATATTAATCAGATAATTTTCTAATATTGATTTCTGTTTAAAAATTGATTCAATCTTTTTATTTTTCCTTTTTTGATGCTAATACTAGGACTTGAGCTCAGGGTATCATACTTTTGCTAGGCTTTTTTTTTTTTCTCAAAGCTAGTGCTCTACCATTTGATCCATATTTCTACTTTTGGTTTTTGCTGGTTAGTTGGAGATAATAGTCTCTTGGCTTTGTTTGCTCAGGCTGCCTTTGTACTGTGATCCTCAGATCTCAGCCTCCTGAATACATAGGATCACAGGTGTGGGACACCAGCACCTGGCTTGCCCAGACTTTCTGACATGGAATGAACCACCATAGACTACACTCAGAGAAGTGACAGTAACATCAGGCTTTAACAATGTGAGCATCTGGGTGTGTCTGAATCTGGCAGCAGATGACTAGGACCCACTGGAGAAGGATAGAGTACATCTGGCATGGGATGCCCAGGACAACAGGTACTAGCAGAGCTACACATCCAGAGAGAGAGAGAGAGAGAGAGAGAGAGAGAGAGAGAGAGAGAGGCGGAGACAGAGACAGAAATAGAGACAGAGACAGAGACAGAAACAGACAGACAGGCAGTCAAGCAGGCAGGCAGGCAAGCATGCAGGCAGGCAGACAGGCAGACAAGCAGGCAGGCAGACAGACAGACAGGCAGGCAGACACAGAAGCAGTGTGGCAGTGGGTACAGGGACCATGAGCATGCAGGACCACTTAGTTAGCAACAGCAAGCAGGGGACCATTTAGCACCTTTTTGTGGCCAGGCTTTGGGAAGGTGTAGGATTTGATTCTTGAGATTATTCCACCCGGTAACCAAGTCTAGAAACCATAATAGTAAGAGGAACAGTAAGTTTAGTTACAGGAAACAAATACAGGGCAGATTGTATAGCAGACTGCTTGAACTTGCTTCTGTAGCTTCACCTCTGAGATAAGCCCGCCTCCCCTGCCCATCTCTACCCGATTCGCCATCCCGCTGCCTCAGTGACATTTATTTATTTGTTTATTTATTTTGATGCCACTGCTAAGGCTTGAACTCTGAGCTCATACTCTTGCTTGGATTTTTTACCCAAGGCTGGCTCTCTATCTCTTGAGCCAAGCCTGTAATTCCAGCTTTTTGGTGTTCAATTGGAGATACGAGTCTCAGGATCTTTTCCACCTGGACTGGCTTCTAAGTGTGATCCTCAGATCTCAGCCTCCTGAGTAGCTAAGGATTACAGGCGTGAGCCATCGACCCACATGAGCCACCAGCACCTGGCCCCTGTGCATAACTCTTGATGACCAGAAAGCTTCTGGAAGAGTCTACCACTGGGACAGCAAGATGTAGAAGAAAACTGGGAAGTATTTCTTACTTTTTTAAGTGGCCACTTGGCACAATCATCCTAAAAACACTATAGAGCTAACCACTGGCTGGTGTTATTTCTTCAGTATGGATGTTGGACCACTGTGTTGGAAATTCACTGAGATCTATGCTTGGGGCATCCACATATTTTTCTGTATGTATAGAAAATGGTTCTAAAGCAAGGTGACTTTTTGAAGCCATTGTATGATATACAGGCGAAAGTAGGATTTGGAGTTAAGAGTGGAGCCCTAAATTCTCATCCATCTAGAAGGAAATGGATCTGTCTCCATGAACATGCAATCTGAAGGCAGATGTACCTGAATCTTTAGTGGTAGGATAAAAACCGTGACAATGTCATAAGGGGGTGTGTGTGTGTGTGTGTGTGTGTGTGTGTGTGTGTGTGTGTGTGTGTGTGTCTGTGTCTGTGAGAGAGAGAGAGAGAGAGAGAGGGTCCCAAAGCTCTCTACTATCTCAGTAAATTCCAGGTCTGTCCGTGTATTACCACAGGTATTCCTGGCTTCCACAGGGCCTCTGAGGCAGAGCCTGGAATCTGGCCTTGTGTGGATTTTGTGTTTCAGGGGTCAGCAAGCCAGGATGTGGTGGAGAGAACCCACTTCCCACATGGCTTTGAGAAGAACGGGAAGTCCCCTCTGAAGTCTGCTGGGATAGCAGTGTGAGCATCGGCTCCTAACAGACTGGAAGGACAGAGAAGGTGGCCTTTCTCTTCGGGGCATGGTTAGTGCATGGGCAAACCCTGGCCGCTCTCACCTCCTGCTGAGGTGGAGGGAGGTCATAGCTGTGGACAAGCCAGCCCCCTTCTTTGGGGGCATCTCTTGGGATTACACCAAGATCCCATCCCAGGCCTCCCTCCCCTAAGCTTCACTCAAGCCAGTTTATTACCCAGCAAGGTCAAGGCCTCTGATAGCAAAAGAGTCAGGCAGACCACCCAGGGAGCCATCCTAACCACACCCTGTGTTTGGCCAACTACACTCCTGGTCCTGAGGGTTCTACACAGGTGTTAACATAGATGTTCAAGGCTGATCGTGAAAGATATGTGCCCAGCACCCAAGTCTGATTTAACATTAACTTCCTTCCTCATTTTGTATAGTTTGAGGCAAAGGGAAGAATTTTACCTAACCTGGAAGTTAAGAAGTGATGTCTGCCTAGCAGCAAATCAGGCTAATTGTATCCGATACTCACTGGAATTCCCAGCTCACAACGAGTGTCTTTTGAAGGGCACCAGACATCCACGGGTTGGGCACTGTGGTATGCCTGTAATCCTAGTCAGGAGTTCTGGGGATCTAAGGATCGAGGTTTAAAGCCAGGAATATCAATGAGACTCTTATCTCCAATTAACCACCAAAAAAGCAGAAATGGAGCTATGGCACAAGTGGTAGAGCTCCATCCCTGGGTGAAAAAAATCTATGGGAAAGATCCTGAGTTCAAGTCTCAGTACCAGCACTAAATAAATAAATACTAGCTAAAACAATAGCTTTCCCCACTGTTAGCTAAACCTGCTTTGCAGCTGTGTTCATACACAATCACCTCTCCTTGGCTGTTATTGCTAAATTTCACTTACCGGAAGAGGGGAACTCGCATTCTGTAGCTGACCTGCAAAGGTAATGTTTGTAGGTTAGAGGCTGGAAAAATCACTGCTGTCTTAGTGGATGAAATCTACTATCTCTACTATCTCTATTGCTACTGCCAATCCATCAATGTGACTGGAACACATTGCTTTTTGAGAAGAGAGCAAATTCTGCATTCTTTTCTTTGCAATCCTTTATCACTGGCTGTTCATGTCATTAGGTTTTTAAGTGTAATGACTTAATAACTATTTGTGTGTGTGTGTGTGTGTGTGTGTGTGTGTGTGTGTGTGTGTGTATACCACTACTAGAGCTTAAACTCAGGGGCTCATGCTTACTTGGCTTGTTTGTTTGACGTTCTTACTTAGCAATGGTGCTCTAACACTTAAGCTATGGCTCCAGGACAGCTCATTGCTGGTTAGTTGGAGACAAGACTGTCTGTATTTATCTGCCCTGGCTGGCTTAAAACACTACCATCCAGATGTCAATCTCTTGAGTAGCTAGGAATATATACCTGAGCCACAAGTATACAATCCTATAGGCTGTTTTTCTGTGTGTATTAGTACTATAACTTGAATTTAGGGTCTGAGCATGACCATTAGCTCAGGGTTACTGCTCTACTATTTGAGCCACAGCTCTACTTCTGGAGTTAGTAGGAAATACTACTTAGCTAAAGATTAAAAAAGTCTCACAGACTTTTCTTCCCTTCCTGGCTTTGAACCACGATCCTCAGGCCTCAACCTCCTGAGTAGCTAGAATTACAGTCATGAGTCACAGGTGCCTCGTCTCCAATTGACTATTTTTTATTTTTAAAATATTTTAATGATTATTTTTCCTTTTATTAATTTTATGTTTACGTGGTACTGAGGAATCGAACCGAAGGCCTCATACATGCTAGGCAAGCACTAATCAAAGCCCATTGACTATTTTTTGATTCATGATATTTGAACCTGGAGTGACATCACATCTAATCACTAGGTAAAAACAAGTCCCCACCAGAACTTGGAATAGACCAAATCTGAAGGAGGCTGATTATGACTAATATCCCCAGACAGATGCTCAGTTGGCTGTGTAACTCACCTGTTTGTGAGCCAATCTTTTGACATGGCACTGTAAGAACTCTTAACAAACCATCTGGCTTGTAAGAATAATGCTCCACGAGCTGGAAGAGAAGACAGGAAGAAAGTGTGGTGAATAATGGAACCAAGGATTGGGGAAAAGGAGTGAGGCCTGCCAGTCAGGTTTTAACCTGAACCAAAGATACAGAATGGGAAGCTGTAACCACAGCCCAGATGTCCTCAGGAGAAGGGCAGAGATTATTTCTGGAACCTACTAGAGAGTGATGTTTAAGGCTCTGAGGAGCCACAGGTCTCCATCACTTAGGTCTTGGTGATAGGGTAGAATTGAAAAGCTGAGTCAGGAATTTATACACCTTACTTGATGCCAGTGGCTCATGCCTGTGATCCACTTAGGAGGCTAAGATCTGAGGACTGCAGTTCGAAGGCTGCCTGGGAAGGAAAATCTATGATACTGTCATCTCTGATTAACCAGCAAAAAGATGGAAATGGAGCCATGGCTCAGGTGGCAGAGCACTAGCCTTGAGCTAAAAAGCTCAGGGACAGTGCCCAGGCCCTGAGTTCAAGCCCCATAACTGGCACACACACACACACACACACACACACACACACACACACACACACATACACACACACCAAAAACAAAAATCAAAACCTTGGATAAACAAAAATCCTGAGATTAAAGCTGTGTACCACCATGACCAGTTCCTTGTTTGTTTCATTTTCAAGAATGCCACAGAAACAGATCTGGAGCTGGATGTGGTCTGTGTGTATGCAGACCTCTAAGTTAAGTTAAAAACGATAAACCTAATACAGTGTACAGTGACCAGCTCTCAGGGAAATAGCTCTGGGCCTGGCAGTGGGACATATGTAGATGTACCTGGGATTGCTGTCAGGAATAACCAATATAGCTATGCATATAAAAGATGTTGGCTAGCAGGGCACTGGTGGCTTATGTCTGTAATCCTAGCTATTCAAAAGGATGAGATCTAAAGATCACATTTTGAAACCAGCTCAAGCAGAAAAGTCTGTGAGATTCTTTTTTTGTTTGTTTGGTTGGTTTTTTTTGGTCGTTGGCGTGAACTCTGGGCCTGGGCGCTGTCCCTCAGCTCTTCAGCTCAAGGCTAGCGCTCTACCACTTGAGCCACAACGCCACTTCTGGCTTTTTGCTTTTTGCTTATGTGGTGCTGAGGAATCGAACCCAGGGCCTCAGGCATGCAAGGCAAGCGCTCTACCTTCCCAGCCCAAGTCTGTGAGATTCTTATCTCCAACTAACTAGCAAAAATCCAGAAGTGGAGGTATGGCTCAAGTTATAGAGTGTCAGCTTTGAGTAAAAAAGCCAAACCAGACTGCAAGGCCCCTGAGTTCAAACCTCAGTACTGGCACACACTTTTTAAAAAATTAGAAAATGTACAACATTTAATTAAGGCTCACTACTATGATAAACCAAAGCAATCCACACAAAATAGCCAATTCTTGGGAAGGAACTTTTCAACCATTAGTAGTGCTGAATGCCACTGTGAACTAAAACACAATGTGAGACACTTAGAAGTTCAGTGAGCAGACGTGAGATCTTCAAGAGTTAGGCTGGCGTATGGGAAGTATGACTGTTTAATTTGCCCACTTTTTTTTTTTTTTACTTTTTGAGATAAAGTTTCTCTATGTGACCTCAAATGCATAATCCTCCTGCCTCTGCCTCTCTGGCTTTAGGGGTACAAGGATGTGTCATTGCACATGACTTTGTTTTTAAAATTATTATTAGTTTTACAACAATGAGGATTGAACTCAGGGCTTCACCCATAGGACCTACCATTGAGTTACACTTAGCCCCTCTCCACCCCCAGCCAGGTGCCTCTAAATGCACATCAGCCATGATTCTTGTTTTGGGTTTTTGTTTGCTTTTATTCTGGTACTGGGGTTTGAACTCAGGGCCTAAGCTTTTTCAATAAGCTTTTTTGTTCAAGGCTGGCACTCTACTACTTGAACTACACGTTCACCCCTGGGTTTTTTTTTGTCAGTTGTTGGGCTTGAACTCAGGGCTTGGGGGCTATCCTTGAGCTTCTCTGAGCTCAAGGCTAACAGTCTATCACTTGAGCCTCAGTGTCACTTCTGGTCTTGAGTAGTTAATTGGAGACAAGAGTCTATCAGATATGTCTACCAACACTGGTTTTGAATCCTAGTCCTCAGATCTTAGCCTTCTGAGTAGCTAGGATTACAATTATGAGCCACCAGCAACCAGCTCATAAAAGATTCTTGTAAAAAGAAAAAGCCTGTGATTGAAATATAATATTGCCTGACTTCTGGAAGGCAATAGTTTTTTTACCTCTAGAGCCTTGTACCCTAAGTATACAAAGGTTAAGTACTTTTTCAAATCAATACCATGGCACCGCAGGAAAAGCCTACAGACACATGGGAATGAGACTAGAAGCCAAAAGACAATGTCTCCATCATGACTGGTGTGTTTGAATATTCACAATACAAAAAAAACCCAAGTACCTATGTTTTTTCATTACAGAATTAGGAACAAAATCACAGTATGGAAAGTTAGTTCCAATTCTTTAAAGGGAATGTGGAAATCCATGGCCTTAGCTTTTAAAAAGACAGGGAGTTGGGTCCTTTCATCCAGGTTGGCCCCCATGTGTGACTCTGGATGGGCCTGCATGAGGAGAGTTAAACTCACCCCTGAGTATGTCCCTTACTTACAGGAGTTAAACATGGCGATTACTAGTCAGGCTAGCCATTTGGGGCTCACACCTGTAATCCTAGCTGCTCAGGAAGTTGAGACCTAGAGGATCATGGTCATTAGCCCAGCTAGAAAGGTCTGTAAGACTCCATCTCTAATGAACCGTCTAGACTAGAGGGTATTGCTCAAATGGCAGAGTACCAGCCACAAGCAAAAAAGTCAAGGGAGAGAAAGACTCCATGTTCAAAACTGAGCATGCGCGTGTGCGCATGCACACACACACACACACACACACACACACACACGGTAGCTCTGCTAAAATGGTGCCCAAAGAGCCATCATTCTCGGAATCATCAGCTAATGTAGAATCAAGAAAAGCAATATATGCTCCCCAGAGATGGATGGATACGCAGCGATGAGCACTATGCAAGTGCTCCTAAATGCCATAATAACTCCAGAACAGTGATTTGTTTCCTAGGTTACTAACAGCTGGGCCAAGAAGACACCCTTTTATGACAACTACTATCACGTCCCTGGACTGGCAGCAGCCGGAAGTCTGGGAGAGGCAGACTCAGTTGCGAAGTCACTGGACCCTCCGTGGAGAGAAGCTCTGTTTCTGTGAGAACGGCAAAGGACCTTTGGCATCCACGGCAGCATCCCCATCCTTGAGCTCCTTTCTTGGCCATCTATGCTTTGACACGTGCGCATTCTTCTGAATGGTTCTTCTGGGGTCTAGCTGGCATGCCCTCTCCAGTATCTAAGACTCTAGAGGACAGCGGCGCAGTAGACAAGGTGCTCTTCCCAGGAGGGCGGAGAGGACAGCACATACCTGCCAGAGGGTGTCGAACTTCTTCCCCTCGGGGATGGAGAGCTTCCCGGTCTTGTCCTTGTCGATGCGGTAGTGCAGCACTTTCCCTTCGTGTAGCAGGCACAGAGCATAGGAGCCATTGTTGTCTCTGGCCCTGATCCTAGAAGAGACGACAGGCCACCTCAGCCCTACTCCAACCAGTTCAGGAGTGGGAGCCCGGGAGACTAGGCCCTGGCCGAATGGAGGCCAATCCTGGAAGTCCCAGGAAGGCTCAGCTTAGAGTCAGACAGGGACAGGCCAGTTACAGTGCTCTTGCAACAAGGAGATACTGACAGTTGGGGTTGGGCCACTGTGAAGGTCCAACAAGGCCCCAGAGCCCCAGAGGGCTCAGAAGATTCTAGAAGCCAGGACTGGTGGCTCATGCTGGTAATCCTAGCTACTCAGCAGACTGAGATCTAAGGATCGTGGTTCAAAGCCAGCCCAGGCAGGAAAGACTGTGAGACTTTTATCTCCAATTAGCTTCCAATTGTAGTCAATTTGTAGAACCTTATCCTTGACTACAAAAGCTCAGGGACAGTGCCAGGCCTTGAATTCAAGCCCCAGTACCAGCACCAAAATAAGAAGAAGAAGAAGGAGGAGGAAGAAGAGGAAGAGGAGGAGGAGGAAGAGGAGGAGGAAGAGAAGATGATGATTCTGGAGTTAGCAGAGCGCAATGTAGTTCAGGGTGAATAGCCCAGGCTCTGGGGAATCCAAGAAGTCCACTGGGTTGCATTCTCTTCTTAACTAGAGTCTGGGTTTGGGACAGATCCATAGATGGTACAGCCCATAGATGGTACTGCCTTACTTAGAGTGCAGTTGGGGTTGTCTGTTTCACCAGGAACCTTCTAGAACATGGATGGAGAGGTATGAAAGCCTCTATGCCCACAGCCCTCTTTTATCTCTACTCTCTCATCCCTGGGAAGGCTGGGGTTTCAAATGTTCAGCGATGATGGTGACAAATTCCCCACATGCTGGAGAAGAAAATGACCACCAGCGTGGAGAGAAGTAGCAGAGGCTGCACCAGGACTATGTGTGCACACACACATTCTACTTTCACTATCATCCTGGGGAATCCTCAGGGCTCCCCATATTCTGGTGGGCTGAGCCTCAGGAGTGACACCACGCCGATGAGAACCCCCACTGAAAGACACACACAGGACACTCTTGACTGTGAGGGAGCCCTGTGCATGCCCTTTCCGTCTCCCTCCTGACCCACAGAACTTGGAGACCAGGGTCCAGATGAATCTCCCAGTAGTGTGTTCCAGTCACCACTAACTATTTCTGCAACCCAAGCCCTTCAGATCATGAGATCTGAGAAAGGGCAAGCCAGGGAAGTCCCAGGAAACCTCCACAGCCCCTGCATTTGCTAAAACAAGGAAGCTGAGAGCCCCATCTCTAAGCAGTGCATCCCAGCACATGGTTCCTTAGAAAGAACTCGCTGTGTCCTGGATGCCAGGGCCAAGATGTCTGCACATGAGAGAAATTTCTCCCAGGTTGCAAGAGGTCATGAGCAGTTCCACATTGAAAGCTAAGGCTTTGAAACCAAATGCGGCCACACTTCTTTATTCCTTGCTCTGTACGATTCATCTCAAGACGCTCCAGAATTTCTTTTCAAGCTGTGCTTGGCTGGGCACAGTGGCCAGGTTTTGTCTGTACGTCACTGCTTAGGGCAGCTAGTGGAGTGGGAGATTCACAGCCAGAACCTTCTTAGCTCTGGCAGGTGACTATTCTGAAACTTCCCTATTGTGGAAACAGCTCCTTTCTCCCCAAGTGCATTGCTGGCCTCCTGAGATGTGAACTCCTTTTTATGGCCACATGGCTGATTAAACCATACTTGGTTAGTGGTAAATGCCGCCCCCCCCTCAGGAAAAAAAAACCAAACACACAATTAACCATATTTTTTTCTAATATAGGTGGACAACTGAGTGGTTTTATAGTGTGAGGTGATTTATGTCTGCTTTGCTTATAAACCTCAACGGTTGACAGGAGAGCTGGGATGTATAAAGAACTATATAAACACCAAAGCATCAAGAAGATACACAAATATCTATAAACCTTGGTCCTAGGAGAAAATTGACCAAACTGTCAGTCTTCTTGATTTAGAGTCCTTCATCTTGAGTTCATAGAGATGAAACAGAGCTCAGAACTCTGGTTTCTAAATCACCTCCGGTCTCCACTAATATATCTTGTCTTAAATCTTGATGGGATTTTTCTTGTTAAAATTGACTGGGAAGACAGGTGTGGTACTGAGTGCCTGTAGTCCTAGATACTCATGAAGCTGAGCCAGGAGGCTTGTCTGAGCCTAATAGCTCAGAGCCAGCTGGACCACACAGGGGACCTTGCCTCTAAAAACAAACAAGTAAACAAAACTGATACGAAGGATCTAGATCACCCTGGGAAATGATGCAATGACCTCAGGAGAAACTGGCAAATGCTAATTAAGATCACTGTGGCAATCATCTAAAAGACTGATAATTTTACACATGTACAGATAACAGGAGCAACAAGGGTCTTCCTCTACTGCTTCTGGGAGTACATACTGATTTAACCACTTTGGAAAACGAACAGGATGACCACTTATAAATCATATTCCTGTGTATTAACAATTCTACCTTTAGGCAAAGTACTGATGGCTCACACCTGTAACTAGCTACTCAGGAGGTTGAGATCTGAGGACCACTGTTCAAAAGCCAGTCCAGGTATAAAATGTTTATGAGGTTTTTATCTCTAATTAACCAATAAAAAAGCTGGAAATGGAGGTGTGGCTCAGTTGGTAAAGTAACAGTCTTAAGCAAAAAAGCCAAAGAAGAGTTTAAGGCCCTAGGTTCTTCAAGTCCCACTATGAACACACACACACACACACACACACACACACACTCCACCTTCAGGTATAAAAAGTGTATGAACTATGCTATGCTCCCAAAGAATGTCCTGGAATATTTATGTTGGCTTTCTTTATGCTTGTTTTTATTTTTTTGGGGGGGGGTCCAGTCGTGGGGCCTGAACTCTGGGCCTGGGCACTGTCCCTCAGCTCTTCAGCTCAAGGCTAGCTCTCTACCACTTGAGCCACAGCGCCACTTCTGGATTTTTTTTTTCTTTTTGCTTATGTGGTGCTGAGGAATCGAATCCAGGGCCTCATGCATGCAAGGCAAGCGCTCTACCACTGAGCCACCTTCCCAGCCCTCTTTATGCTTGCTTAAAACCATAAACAAACCATATTATAAATGATAGACTAAGAAATCAATTATGTAATATATCTATTCATACAATATGAATTCACAGAATATGGCTGTATCAATGAGTCTCAAAAGAAGAAAATAGACTCCAGTACTCTATGTTTATTAAATTCCCAACAGCAAACAGTTGTGTTTCGAGATGGACACCTAGGTGGTAAAGCTCAAATATAAAACCAAAATAAAACTCTTGTAGACACAAGAGTCCAGGAAGTATTCCTCCAGGAAGACTTCAGTGACTCAAACTGTGGAGTTTGAATTCAGGGACTCTTGCTTGCCTTGACTGGAGTCCTACCACTTGAGCCATACCTCCAGCCTAGCCTTTTGCTTATTACTTTGGAGTCTCCCCAACTTTTATGTCTGGGCTGGCTTTAAACTACAATCCTCCAAATTTCAGCCTCCTGAGTAGCCAGGATTCTAGGCATGCTCCACTGGTGCCCAGATGTGTTTTATTTCTTGATGGTTGTTTGATCACTATTTGTTCAGTTGTACTCATGTAGCTCAGGTCATTGATGATAAAACAATATATAGAGGGAAGTGACACAAGGTGGAAATGGAAAGTGTCTTGTTTGTGGGCAGCCATTTCTGCAAAGGCCCATACTTCCTCCAAGTTCCCCAAGAGAACAGGTACTGTAGGCGGCTCCCAATCTCCCTCACCTGTACATATAGTACTCCCAGTGACAGGTAACTGGCAGGTATGGATAACTCCGGGGTAATGCCCAAGGCAAGTGGCAGGAAGTCAGGGCAGAGGCAGGAAATGCACAGGCCTAACACCTGTAGGTGACAAAGACCAGAAGACCCAACCACACTAACAGCCAGCCCCTGTGAGATAACCGCCAGCCTCAGGCAGATCTTGGACTGAGGTGTTTAAAGTATGACAAAGGGAAAGACTTCGTGCTTTTGTTTGGTTCAAACTCTTGATTCATTTTTAATTGTTTTCTTCCCAATTATTCCCTTGGAAAAAAGTGAACTAAAATATATCGTTTGTATTTTGTTCTTGCCTTTCTACTTTCTTTCCTTTTGTTCCCTTTCTCCCTCCCTCCCTTTCTCTCTCCCTCCCTCCCTTCCTTCCTCTTTTTCTCTCTCATTTTGTTCTGGAACTGGGACTTGAACTCAGGGTCTTGTACTCTCACTTGGCTTTTATGTTCAATGTTGGTGTTCTACCACTTGAGCTATAGCTCTACTTCTGGCTTTTTGCTGATCAATTGGAAATAAGAATCTCACAGAGTTTTCTTCCTGGGCTGGCTTTGAACCATGACCCTCAGATATCAGCCTCCTGAGTAGCTAGCATTATAGAAGTGAGCTTCCAGCTCCTGGCTCTTTCCTTGACTTTCTTCTGCACTCTTCATGGAGGAAGTGAGGAAATGTGTGTGGAGTGGTGGTGGTGGTGATGCCAGCCACTGGAGGGAAAGTAAGGACCCAGGAAATGGTGGATCCTTCCTCAAGGAAGCCTCTCCAACCTCTCCTGGAATATTGCCTACCTCTGCTGCAGATATAACTGAACATCCAGCCCATGCTGGCCGACTACTTGTTCTCATTCTCCCAGGCCATTTTCCCACAGTAGAGTAGAGGGAGCATCTCTGCCTGGAGCACCAGGGCCAGGAGGAGCAGAAGGGATTTGCTGGGGACACAGGATTGATGCTCCTGTGGCCGGATGGACTATTCAGAAAGTGGATTGCTGCTGGGCAGAGTGGGCCACCCACAGTGGCTTCTCCAGAACAAAGGCTGGGGAGAGAGGGAGGAGGGGACCTAAGAATGAGTGACAGCCTCACAGTGTTCCTCTGACAGAAAGCCAGTAGCCCTCTTCTGAGGAGGAATGCTGTGGATCCCACAAAGACAAGACAGGGTGAGACTCTGGGTGCTTTTGCCATGTACATTTAGGCAGACT